TATATATATATATATATAAGACGAGAGCCAACCTAAAAACTCACAAATTTCCTTGCACCACTGAAGGGAAAAATGCCTTCGCTGCGGAGTTATTTCTTGGAAAACACCAAATGAATAGTTACAGACTATTGGACAGGGAAGCAAAACTCTCATATGCTTCTTGTTTATAAAAACTGAGTATCTGCCTTCTTCTCGAACGCATATTCCTGAACTCTCCTGGATACTCATTGACTATCACTCAAATGTAAACGAACGCTACAGAGCACTTCCACAAATCCCCCAGTGAATCTCACTTGTCCATAGACGCGAAGTGGATTTACGAGAGAACCACATGCTACTCGCATGCCTCATCAGTAGTATCCGCCGTTACACCACCATAAATCTTCGAATAACCTGGAGAACGAAGAATTTCACAGTGGAAGTGAGACTTCCATCTGAGAAGTCGTCACTCAAGTGGCCAATCAATACGTCACTATGTGCTGTTGAGTCCGTAATTAATGTAGTCGCGCTATGTGCTGTCCAATTTGAGGTAATCACATTACTGGTTAGCTCTTGCCTGTCGAACTGTTAGGTGTTCTAACCATTGGCCCAAAGGTAGCGGGTTCAAAGCTTTTTTGAGATTTTGTGAGATGCAGACTGCTAATTTTGTCAGTAAGGTTGAAATGGCGGCAAATCGCTCCTTGGCTTTTCACTATCAGTCATCCTTACCTACGGGAAGGAACCTTTTGAACATATCGCAAGAGTCTACCATTTTAACGAAGTTTGGTCGGCGGACTGTGAAGAAGTATGGAGAGAGAAATTCATGGACTTATGGAAACCATTTTCTTCTCTGCTTCATAAAACATCACGGCGTTCTCAATCAGCTTTCGAAAAGTACTGGTAGTGTTTACACTATGCCTCACGTGATTACCACCGTCGAACAATGGCACACAGACAACGGTTGGATGCCTCGTCAGCCTTCTGCATGGTAGAAGGCTACTTATTTAAAGGTGTATCAATAAGCTTGGTTCCAGAATTTAAGGAAAATGCCCGAGGCTTACTCTTGTGTTCTAAAAACTAAGCTACGCCGGAAGCATGCAAATTCAGGGGAGTTCGGTAGTGTGACCAACCGCTTTTGGAGCTAATCCCTCTGAATAGCCCGCTCCTCACGGGAGCCTGGTTTGCGTCAGTTTTCCTAATGTTTAACCGACAACTTGGCGCGTGACGCACTCAGCTTCGGTTAAACTGCTTGCATCGACAACGTATTCCGCCTAAACTGATATCTACCGTACCCCGTGAGCTGGATAGAACACACGCCTGATGACCCCACCGTGTTTTCGGATTTCACCTATTTGAGGATTTGGTATAGTGATCAGTCACTTATTGGTAAACAGGTGTTCCCTTATTACTGCCACTCTTTGAACAAAGTGCTTTTAGAATTTTTTCTGGATGAGTCTTCAAGAGGGCGTGCAAAAGCGAAAGAATGAATATATTGACTTACAAAATGATGCTAACTACTGCAACAATCATGGTGGCTTTGAAAATAAAACTTTTTTTAAAGGCTGTGCCGGCTCATGGGGTGATACAACCTGTCTTAAAAACATTAAAAACACATCAGTAGTTGTGGCTATCGTTGGGGTAATTACATGAAACGAAGAAAAAAAGCAACTGTAGGAATATATTTAAGTTATGAAAGGTACTAATTTAGTGGTTAGTTTGGGGGCACTCCTACGGAAGAGGATTTGGTGTAGTGACTGTGCAAGTAAAAGTGATCATAGAAACGCCTGAATAAAGTTACTTGACTCACAATTGTTCCAAATTACAAGATTTGAAGGCAGAAATTACTAAGAATAGTTTTTGGCACAAATACCGCGTTTTGTAGACAGGGATCTCATGAACCCAGGGTACTAATGATCACAGATGATTTTTTGCCCATGCAAAAAACCGCCTGGAGAAGACCAACAACCTGTCTTAAAAACATTAAAAACACATCAGTAGTTGTGGCTATCGTTGGGGTAATTACATGAAACGAAGAAAAAAAGCAACTGTAGGAATATATTTAAGTTATGAAAGGTACTAATTTAGTGGTTAGTTTGGGGGCACTCCTACGGAAGAGGATTTGGTGTAGTGACTGTGCAAGTAAAAGTGATCATAGAAACGCCTGAATAAAGTTACTTGACTCACAATTGTTCCAAATTACAAGATTTGAAGGCAGAAATTACTAAGAATAGTTTTTGGCACAAATACCGGGTTTTGTAGACAGGGATCTCATGAACCCAGGGAACTAATGATCACAGATGATTTTTTGCCCATGCAAAAAACCGCCTGGAGAAGACCAACTATCTAATGAAATTTTTATAACCCTATGCGATTGCTGCACAAAAAAAAACATTTTAATGGAATTTTGTGTTTTATCGAGTAGATTGGTCTGGGGTGGGTAGAGACAAGCGGAAGTCTGTTTTTTTAGTACAACACTTTCAAAATATAGGGAAACATCCTTTGCAGCCGGGAACTCTCAGGTGGCATAGAACAGGCTTTAACCAGCTTGCGCTCACTGCTTAAGCAACTGTGGAATGTTTAACCCGCATAACCAGAGGCATCCAGCTTTAGTCTGTCAAAAAAAGTAGTAGCAGTAAAGGACGGTTTCTTAGGTCTAAGATGGCACGGTGTCTATTTGCGAGCTTTAGTGACACAGGCTATTCAGACTCAAACTACTGGCGTTTTCCCAGAAAATTAAACTATCCAGAATATAATCGTGCTCCATTTTCACTTTCTATACTACACCGACAAGACTCCTATAGTGTCTCTTGCAGAATACCCTGTTTGGGGTCTAATTGCCTCACTAGCATACGTGGAATCAGAGGCAGGTATACCAAATATTTAATGTGGATAAATGGCCACAGGGTAACTCACTTTCGCTTGGAGCATAAGTGAAGTTAATTACGCGTTAATACATTATTCCATCAAGTAGAACCCGAAACAAAGTGTTCCCTGACAATACAAATGTTCCTGAAGAAAGATTTCGCTTGGTGGAGCAACCCAGCGTAAATTTGGGAACCTGAAAATTTCGCTAGGTTTTGTTATTACAAAAAAACCTATACAGTGATCCCTCGCTGATTCAACAAGAATGTGCGTGCAAAGGTGTTGTGGTTTGTCCTCAAAACTGTCTGTTGGAACTCTTTTGGCTGCGTGATAAATCCCCGTTCACTTGGTTACTCTAAGTACCTGTGTGCTCCATTTGTTTTGCTTCGTCACTTCCTTTTTAATCGTTATTGACTCTGCCACGAAGGCCGCCCGGTTCATGAACGTATGTGCTATTTGTGTATGCGTATCACTGTACATACTTACCCATTCGCGTTGGTTCTCTGTCTGCTCAGTCTGCCTTCCCTCGTTCTGTCGTGACACCCGTGTGTTTGCACAGCCGGTCAGGCTCAAGATATTGGGAAGGACAATTAAAACCCAAACCCCTGAGCCAACAGTCTGCTTTCCGCTGTCTGATATGCTGACGTTGACGCCCTGATATGCCGAACAGTGACAAACTTGCGCAGTTGGTGACTCGCAACCGAGGTTTTACGAGTAATTTTTCACACTTGTGTGTACGTTGAATCGTAGACTTTGATATTCGGGTTGGTCACACCTACACGTGCCTAAAAGCGTTACTTGCGTCACATTTGTCCGCATGAATCCCAATAACCTTGTACTTTTTTTTCGGGTAATGCAAACCCTACAGTTGTAGATCTTTTATTGAACGCAATCCAGAAAGGGTACACAATGCACACAAACCTCAGAGATATAGGATGGATGTGTCACGTGGTTCCATTGAAGAAGAATAAATCACCTGCATTCATGCCAGCCATATCACAGATCCCTATTCTGGGTTGCGCACCAGAAGATTCAAACCCAAAATCTGAGCCTGTTTCTAACATAAAGTCTACGGACACGCCTTTCATAAGATTGGCTAAAATGGGTGGCCGCCCAGACTTGCTATGTTTTAAAGAGAATGAACCAAACAATGGACCTCCTCTGCCCTACTGCCGTTGTGACTGGTTTTATCTGGAAGATAATGCCAAACACGACGAGGACACAAAGCCGCCCGCAACGAAGCATGTTTTCAAAGTACCCTTCTATATGACAGACCAGGAGTGTAAACCAAAAGAGCAACTCACCAAACCAATTGTTCAATCCACTCCACCTGTTTTGCCACCAAGGAAACCAAAGAAGTGTGGGAAGTTGCCACCACACAGGCCCGGGTATGCTGACTACAACCGAAAGCCTAGCAAAATTGGCATCGCCTACAGTCCCCCAGTTCGCAAAGAACCAATTAGATTTCCAAAGGTAAGTAAATTTGTTTAGGTGAAATATTTCACACAAGCTGGTAAAATAAACATATCTGGATAATGAGTTCTTCTGGGTCATTCGTTTTCGCAAAAATGAACATTAGGGGTTAACTAATTACCACCTCAAAAGGGATGTTGGAGATAGGATTGGTCGCACTTAAACTCTGACTCCGTACGTGAAGGTAAATTCACGTTGTGAATTCATACTACTAAGAAGTAGCTATCAGTGACTGTGAACTTACACTGCACTCTCCTGTTCTTATTTCAGCGAAACGTTGAAGAGTGCAATCCAACCACTTTGCCAAAAGTGCTGGCTAATGCCTATAAATCCGACTATGATGAATACAGGAAACAGTGGCAGGAAGTGAAGAATTATTATAAAGATAAAGATTCCTGTGCGCTGAAATTCGAACCACCAAGGCCGAGTAAACGATCGCTTGGACCAAAGGGTAACGATGTGGCCTACTAGTGGCACTGCGAAAAATGTTCAGAGCAGAGCAACAAAATCTTTCTTAGTATTTCTGCCAAAAAACTGTCAAGAAATGTGGTATTGTGACGCCTTATTGTAGTATATTTTGAGTTGCCCAGAAAGGCATTTTGAATCTAATGGCTGCATGTACATTTGAGACAGTGCAAAACATATGTGAATGGTGTATTTTTTCTTCTGCATAATCCAGTCCAAAGTATTTGGTTAGCAAATTAGGAGGCTTTTCCTCGAAGTAAAACACTATCAAGATGACCACTTTTTCTTATTTTCTTATTTTAAAATTTTTAGCATTCCGGTTTTAATGAGACGAGAGAAGTTGGATTGAATTCACGATTCTCTTGGATACTTTTTCATCAATTCATCATTAGTAGCTGTCAGTCCGACTGATTTCCACGTGAGATCAGGGAAGAAACAGCAGTGACTGAGGTCGCGAGAGACTGCCATTGCATCCATAGAGTTTGCCATCCAGGTTTGCAAACCTCTAACTTAAGTTGCACTACTAGAAGATAGGCAGCAATAATGAGGGCAAGTGCATGATTATGGGCTTTAGATATCGGCCGTATATAGATAAAATGAAAATAAAACTGGACATGGTCTCCGGCTAATGTCGCTTCATTTAACGCGACTTGCTTCCAGTTTTCCGATTACTTACTCGATAGACACACGTTTATTGCCGCCTACGGGCGATTTTGCAAAGTACTTAACCTTCAGGTTGCCAGTGGATGAAAAACAATCAGTTCAGTAACCAAAAATATCTCCACCCTAACACCATGTTCTCTAAACAGTTTCATCGCCATCTCTTTTTCATTTTTAAAAGGTGCCGGAAAGTGTATTTCCGCACTCCCATCACTATATGGAACGGAACATTATTGCCATGAGTTTTATGGAACTATTGTTTCCGAAGTTTCCTGTATGCTCTTCAAAAATCCGCACCGAGTTTTATTCATTACTAACAAAGACTCCAGCGACGTGCGACATTCTCTGAAGATATATATATATATATATATATATATATATATGCTTCATAATTGGCAAAGAATTGAAAGTGGTACTATGGGCTAAATAACTTTACGTTGGCCGTCCATGGAAATGAGAAGTTCTATAAAGCTCACTGAGACGTAATACACTACTCATAACTATACTGAAGACTTCTCGACAGGCCATGACCATTTTTGCTTTTCTTTGGGCTCATCAAGTAAGCGCAGTCCCCGAGGTTCCGTCAATCTTATGTTTGAAAACATCAGAAACGAGAGATTCAGCTGGGTTTCAGTGAAAACAAATTTGGCATGCAAATAAAAGTATCTCGTTCATTCCATCAAGATTCTTTCCAATAAGCCATTGAGTCTCCTTTAAGACATTCAATCCCCCAAACTTAATTCAGGTAGGCTCAGTGGTTTGCTTTATATAACAACACCTTTCAGTTTCATGACGGCTGACTGAGTACTTCGTCACAAACCTGAAACCGTCGTTAACCTCGAATAGAGTAACATGCTCGGAGGTATTATAAAAGTGTGGGACTGCGTAGACAACTTACTGCGAAAGCCAGTGAACGGGAGCCGGTTTGGACTAGTGTACTGTAGCATTACGGAAGCATCATTGTGCTCGTGATTGGTGAGATTTTCTTGACTTTAACTCAAGCGATCCTAAGATCGGATTTGGAAAAATTCATTTTATCGTCGGTGGATGACCTGGAATCCTCTTCGATGTATTAGGTTCAGTGTATCATGTCCTTGGTGATGTACGAAACTGGATCACAGGTCACTTTAAGGCATTGTGCTTCATGTCCATTCGGTTTGCTCATGTGTCCATGTTATGCCTGAGTGATTTTCAAACACCAATGACGTAAGCTTTTTTCCAGAAAGATCTTCCAAGAAACTCTGTGGAATGATTTTCGCAACTGGTTATCTAGCTGACCACGTTCAGAAAGTCTGAGCGGTGTTGGTGGATGCAAAATAATAGCTGATCATCTCAGTATTTCCGGGCCAAACTCGGCTCAGATATTGCCAAAAAGATTGAGCGTCATGTTTTTAAAAATTCGATTACCGTTGTTTTAGTTTAGATAGGTGACTGAGAAATTAAGTTTCGAATAACCGCTTCCTCCGGTAGATGAAGTTTGCAAACAAACTACACGTGTCTTTGGTTATTTCGTCATATCCTTTACCGTGGTTTTTGAAATCCTGAAAAAACGCGCTTACTTAATCTCATAACTAGTGTTTGAATGTTAATTGTGGCGTCAAAACCGAATTACGCTGAAGCTTAATGGTCACCTATACAAGTTAACTGTAAAATTTGTCTCACTCTATGGCTGTGATACTTGGCCTCCCCGCTCCACGGACCTTAGGCATCTTCGTTTTTTCTACAACTATTATCCGTGGTACAACAAGAGTAGTCTGGCTGCAGCGAATCTGCAACGGTGCAAACTATTAGAGGATCCGATTCGTTACATCAGCAGGTTCCCAGGTTGAGGTGGTTTGGGTATGTGGTACTTATGCCCACCCACCACCTGTCGAAGCAATCTTGGTTTTCTGTTTCTACTATGTGTTGGTGAAAGATTCACGCGGGACAACCCATGACATGGACACATGAGGCAAAGTTGATTACTGTGGGCTCTGAGCCCGCAAGCCTTCTTGGCTAGGGCCTACGTGATTCTGCTTGTAGCTGGTTGCAGATGACACGCAACTGACCTCAAAGGTGTCCATGCTGTCATTTTCTAGTCGGAAGGCCTGGCTAAAATTCACCTGTCATTTTGTGCTGGGTTTATTTCGATTGAGATTCGCAAAGCGCACTCAGTCAATCCAGCTGATGTTCGTTTACCTCGACATTATGCTTAGATATGCATATTCTTAAGCAATCTAAAGGTGTGAACATCGCATTCTTGATGTTTTCCATTGAGGACACAGAGGCTCTTCGTAATATGTTTGCACCCCCCTCTTGTTTCCACTCTTTAACAAGGCTTTATCTTTCATGGTGGCATGGCAGTTAAAAATCAGTAGGCTGTACTGGTGTATTGCTGTAGATGTTGGCGGCGTTACTCGCAAATCCAAAAATACACAGGAAAGATCAAATACTGCACTATGTCTAGATAATTCCATCCAGTTTTTGCCTAAATGACTGTAACCAAAACTGGAGAATAAACACAGGTGGCTTTTAGGTGCTTCATCAGTTTTGGTTCCGATAATTTCGAGTGTGTTTGAAAATTTAGTTTATAGGGATCCAGTTGGCAAATTTGCCGTCACTTTTTTTAGCTTCATTTGCTAAGTTTATTCACTCGATTTTTTCTCAGTAACCAGGTTTGTGTCCCAATGGGATTTTGCACAAATATATACTTCACATTCGGAAACATGTACCAACAAGTGAAACGAGCTCCATTAGGATCATTGGCTGCCAGATTCACCATCAAGGCAGCAAAGCAGAAACCGGAGCACTTTTCCGTCCGCTTTTACTCTTCTATTGACAACAAGGCTTTCAAATAAATCATGGTTGTACGACAGTGAAGTCGATGATGATGATGATGACTAATAATCGACCCGAAAATCTTGATTCGCTATGTGGATGACCCCTTCATCGCTTCGAAACTGTGCAGCACCGCCCGCACGTGGTCTATGTAGCACCACATCTAAATTCGTTGAGCTTACAAGTGAATTTGGCAGAGCAGTCAGCAGTCATTCTTGAACAAAGTGGTCAGCAGAAGTATGGACAAGTATCTTCGAACCTGCCTTAATTGGAGTAAACACACGGCAACCAGACACTGAGTTCTTATGAACTGTTCAACTAGAGCAGTTCAGCTGGCGCCACTGGATATATCCTTCGATTGAAGTCCAGGCTTCACAATCCAGTGCCAATATTCCAAGCGTGTCGTTGCAGACAGGCCATCACTAACTTACGCCGGCTATGATTTTGAGATAATAGGTACGGAAAACCTGGGGACGTCTCAGTGTTCTTATCATGCATCAGGAATGTATCTGGACGCGTTGTAGCACATAATCCAGTGGGTGCTTTGCGGAAGTCGATTTTGAGAACTAAGGAGATAATAGACCGGAATATCGCCAAATAACAGCAATGATAATGTCTACTTGGTTGGTGACCAGATACTTGAAATCTTGTTGCCTATTTCAGCAAATGGAACACCAGTCAACTCCGTAAATACAGTAAAAGATGTCTAAACTGCCTCCGAAATGAAAATCACCTTTTAGAAACGTAAAAATTCTGCGTAATTTCATGATATGACCTTCTGGGAAAGACTAGTTCCCCTCTCCGTCCGAAACACTGTTTGATACCCAGATGCTGTAAAGTCTGGTGCGTTGTGCTATACACGGCATGTGTTTTTGAGTGGTGATGGTGCACCTTGTCTTTTCCCACAAATTTGCAAGGTTTGTCTGCTTATGAAGCTTGTAAGCTGGAATTGAGTGCACTAGTTGCACTTTGAGTCATTTGGTTCTATTCAGTAAGGATTCCAGCTTCGGTTTCACAAACGCAACGATTTTCTCGTCATGTCAAGGAAAAAGGGTGGAAGCTTTCTATTGATTCCGTATATTTCGGCAATCGGGAATTTGTCTTTTGGCATTTGCATTTGGTTGAAAAACTTTTCTTATTCAATGTTAACTGGTAAAACTCGAAAAATTCTAGAATTCAAGTGAACGGGAAGCCGGAGATTTGTATGGTCAACGGGTATTTGGAGTTGTGAGAAGAATCCTAGGGCTGGACTGCGGGATAGAAATTACACTAATAAGGGTACACTATTGGTGCAACCGTGAAGGAAGCGAAAACAAACAAATCGTTATGAGCTCATTACTGGTAAGTGCTGAGTTCAGTAAAAAAATATGCGTTGTTCTGTATCTGGTTGGCCGAAACATGGTTACGCATGAGTCATTCCCGTTAAGTGAATGAACTGTGACTGAGATCAGTGACCTGATGGCATGCTTTTTATACGGGGGCAACTAAAGCCTCAAAGTGTGAGCGTGCTTTTTTGGTTGATGCATTCACTACTGACTTGGTCTTGTCAGTTTGTGGAAAATCCGTGGCGGCTCGAATTCCGAGTTCTGATGGGACTCTGTTTTAAAAGATGTGTTAGGACTTCAGTTCTGTGTTGAGAGTCCACTCACAAAAGATCACTTTCAGTATTCCTGAGTCGGTGTCTCAGTCGTTGGAGACAGGTGGAAGACGAATCGTAGCGGTTGACAAAGAAGAACGGCTGTGTGAACTTCCACCAGCTTAAGCGTTTCAGAATCAGCGGCATTCGTGGGCTGGAG